CTTCTTTTTTTTTCCTAGCAAAACTGGCATTGGGAACCATCCGCACACGGACGTGTGGAGACGGCCTTCAAGGAGAAGGTCAAATTCCGCCTCAACAACACCGTTTCCGACTGGAAACGGAAGTGGGAGGACGAGGGCGACAAGGCCAAGCCGCCGCCTATGTCCAAGTTCGTCTGGCAGGGCCTTGTCCAGTTCTGGTCGGATCCAACCAACCAGACTACCGCCGCCAAGTGTTCCGTATCTAGGTAAGTCGTAGTTAATTTCATTAATATTTACATTATTTTTTTCTTTTTTTAATAGATTCTAATCAAAATATTTTTCAGGAACGCTACTAACGATGCGGGAAATAAGAAGAACGTCCCGCACACTTCCGGCCAGATTCCTTTTGCCGGAAGACGGCTTATGATGGTAAGCACATTGAAAAATCTTAAATTTTTTTTCTCAACTAATAATTAAACTCTTATTTCTTGATACTAATTAATTTTTTCTTTTTTATTTTGTAGGTCGAAGATAACGGAGGAGAACTTCCTCCGATGACGAAGGTTTTCGCCGTGACGCATAAAAAGCGTAACGGCGAATTCACGGATCCTCGGGCGGAGGAGATCTACAACGCCGCATGTGCGGCGATCGAGGAGCGACAGACGCAGCTGACTCAGCAGGCGCGTCAAACGTCTGACGGAGGTAGCTCGGTCCAATCGACCCCGGCGCTGACGGTCGCGGAGATGGACCAGATCTTCGAAGAGGTACGTAATTAATTATGAATACTTTTTTTAATTAATGTAACTTTAGTTTTAAATTAATTATATTCCTAACCATAATGTTTTTATATGTTTGTAGGTTGCCCCAAAGAAAAAGGGGCGGGTATTAGGGATGGGGTCCATCCGTGATACCCCGAGAGCTACGGCGACTGGTCACGTCCGGGCTCCGGCGAATCCGGTTATCCGCCAGGAGATCGATCAGATGCGGAACCAGTACGAGACGACGATCGACCGGTACGAGACGAAGATCGACATGCTCTACGGTCTTTTCGAGATCATGGGAGCCGACAACCCGGTACTCATGGCGCAGCTGGACAAGCTGAAGGCGGATGGGGTTATAGGAGGATCGTCTGCCGTCGGGTCATCTACTAGGACTCGACCGCCGCCGGTGCAGACGGACGCGGAGATGTTCCGATCTCTCGGGGTCGACCCTCCTACAGCCGGAGCCGGAGATCAGGCGGCGGGACCATCAAACCGAAGACCCGGCAAGGAGCACGTCCAAGACGATGTCCAGGAGGCCGGTGACGGGATCGACGATATACATTTAGATTTAGATGACCTGTAGGGTTTTTTTTTGTAAATTAAAATTTTTCAAATTGTAAATTATTTTTTTTATTTAAATTTTAATTCGAATTATTTTTTTTTAAAAATTTTCAATTAATTTTTTTTTATTTTTCATATATATAAATCGTCGTATAATCGTCGTAATAGATTTATTCAAACCGTCGTAATGTCGTCGTACATATTACGACAACTTTACGACTATAATATACGACGACAAATACGACGATTATACGTCCGAGATTTACGACGATTTTACGACGCAATGAAGAAATACTTTACGACTGATTTACGACGATTATTGCGTCGTACATTTTATGACGATCTTACGTCGATCATTAACAACCACTTAACGACGGTTTAGGTGAAGACCAAGTGGACGCAATTCGATGTAAACTCGTCGTAAATTGTACGACGCATTTACGACGATTTTGTTTGCCTCGATGTTACGACGAAACAAAGTCGTCGTATATTATACGACGATTTTACGACGATTTGTCTATTACGACGATGAGTTTACGACGATTTTGAAATCGTCGGTAATCCGTCGTAATGGCCCTATTACGACGAATTACCGACCATTTTGGCCGTCGTAAAATGATGTTTTTCTTGTAGTGTAATTGGTTAGTTAGGGTTCATAATCTGATTATTTCTTCACCATAAGTTGTTCTTAAAGCTAATTCGGAACTGATCACCAAGAACTTAGACCTTAATTAGATTAATTGATTGAAACGAAAGTGTAATTGATAATCTGATAGAACCTATAGTGAGCAAAATAGTTATCCGTAAAGAAATTTGGTTTAGATATTTTGTGAACAAATCAAACCCACACTCAAAGCTTGTTTACTCTTTAGGATTTGTAAAGAAATTTGGAATTCTGGGATTTAGACTTAGACAATTCTCGCAACGAAATTTGGTTACTTATAATTTCGTGATTTGAGTTCAAGGACCCCGCTAAAATCTGAGTCCTGATTAATCGATTTATCTGCATTCTCTGATTTTTGAGAAACACCCTGAACCTATATTTTCTCATCGAATTTACAAACCGTTTTAATTACCCTGCTGCTTTCAATTTCATCATTTTGACTTAGCTTAATTCAAGTCTATATAATTTATTGCGCGAATCTTTAGTCTTTGTGGTTTGACCCCTATTATACTACAATTGCATATATGTGCTCTTGCAGAGTAGCTCTATGGATTAAACTTTGAGCAGATCAAAACCCTTTTTAGTAACAGTGATTTCTTAGATCTAAAAAACTCTTCTTTATCGTCATTCCAAACAATTAATTAGCTAGTTGTCTACATATCTGCTTACAAGTATTTTAGGCCGTCTTCTGCAGTAATCGTGGTTTGCAACACAAAATCCACTAGAAAAAATGAATAACAATTAAGGATAGAAGCAAGGAAGAACTTTTGCCACCATCCATTTCTAAAGCTATACCAATTATTAGGCTTTTGTGTGATCTACCTCTTTTGAAATGGTTCAACTGACTGGAGCTTTTATCTTTTCAAATCTATTGAAAAATGCACTATAAAAAATGATTAAATTCTTTTTCAAATCAAATGAATATAAGAAAACCAAGCAAAACAAAGAAAAATTACTAAAGAAATGTAACCAAAAAAAACCAACCAGGCCGACATCAGAGCTATAATAGCCTGTGGTTATCGACCGGGATCAACAAAAGATCCGCTTTCTCTCGTTCAGAGGCTGTTTTTGATAAACATATTTGGCCATCTAATGATATCTCGTGTCTTCGTGTTTTAACCCATATTGAATGTATTGCCCTCATAGTTTGTGGAAACTACAACAAGAGAAACTAGCCAAAAAAAACGGAAAGATGGTAATGCTTTTCTAGGTTCCCAAACGGATACAAACTGTGTTGCGACATCACATATTTCTCCTTTACCATCTGATATATATGGTTAATCAGACAACCACTACTATTATAGATCTAGTGTTTTTTTTAGCTGAATTTAAAAAGCAAAAAAAATATCTAAAACAAAGATTAATACCAATAGTGGAAGTGCATCTGCACACATTAGGCCTTCCTCATCCAAACGAGTTCTTATCCATATAGCATTGCCAAAGAAATTAAGTTGTCTCGATAGAGTCAGTCCTGGATATAAGCATATGAAGCGGTTTGAGGCTAGTAAAGGTTAAATATTTTACTGGGGCCAAATATTGAAAATACAAGTTCGTCCAAAGAGTTTAAGACATGAAGATACATTAAGTGATGTATAGTTTGAACTTCCGAGTTATTTTTTTTTGTATATTTGTTTGTTTATCTATTTTTTATTTTTTGTTTTGACTAAAAGTCATGTATACTTGTTTTTGTGATATCTTCTATTAATATCGACTTAATATCATTTAATATTAGTGTTTATTTTTAAACTTAAACATATATTTTATAAAAAAATTTAAAGGCCAATTTTTAGTTTTGCTTTTAACCTGACAAATCTCAGAACTAGGTTTTGTCTAGATACTTTTTTTTTTTTGTTTGTCAACGAGTTCATTACTCAAAGACCCAAAAAAGGCAATTACAGAAAGTTTTTAGAAACCTAGAACATACCCAATACAATTTGAGATCAACACAAAGAAAAGATGGAACGCGTCGAAACATGTGTTGATAAAAAAAAAGAAAAATAGAGCATATATCATCTGAGGAGAAAAAACGCTGCATCACCATCAAAATCTCTGCAACAGTGGTCTTTTTGTCGACGGTCTTCTCACCGTCAAATCACCAACAAATCTCCGGTGCCACCTAAAGACTTCATCAGAAACACTTCTGTTTCTTCCCTCTCCTTTAATGACTCCTCCAATTTGAATCTGTATGAGGATTGGCACAAATCTTCGATTAATCACTGCTGATTATCTTTGACTCAAGACTAATAACCCAATGCCGTCAATGCTTTTGAAGGGATTTAGAGAGATATCTCTCAGTCAAGATAGGACGATGCCCAAAGTCGAAGAAGAAATCTCAACACAAGCCACCTGATCCGATCACCACCGCCTCACTGTAAGAGGACTAAATTGCAGAGGAGAAATGGGCGAGAAGACATCCGTACATATCTGGAAACCCTTTACTTTACCATAAAATCCATGATTCTTCTAACAAGAGTAAATCCTTCACTCCACTAAGGACTAGTGATGGATTTTACAAGTTCAAATAGAAAGAAACAACAAATAAGATCAGCAAAAGAAATCCGAAAGCTGGAAAACCAAAATCTGAATAAGTCGGAAACATATTACCGATTGAAACCGGAGATTATTGTTCGATGTTAATCGAAATATAAACAAAAAAAGAGAAAAAGTGCTTCCTCGCTCTCAAAGATAGAGATGAGAGAAGAGAGAGGAAGGAAAAGAAACTCCCTTCCTGACTAGATACAATACTTGGAACTCAATTGCTGGAGCATTTGAAGCTCTTGCGAAAGAAAGAAGAAAAAAATGCATAGTTTTATCTCTTTTTCCAGATTTTTCCAGATTTTCCGTGTGACTGCTTCCATCCACAAACTCTGACAGAAGCTGGATATTCTACAAACAAAACCAAGGGTGATTCCGTCCATACCGGGGTTCAACAATAACTAAAGTGCTATATTTGCAAGACACTTTAGAAAACTGACAAAATAAAAATGTGCCAATTTCTGCAAACCACCTTATCAAACAAAAATGTGCCAATTTCGCAAAATCGGCATGAATTGCGAAACTACTGTGATTATCATCACTGTAAAAAAAAAAATCAAATCATTAAGATTGGCTTATATTCCTCACTAATTTTGTTCTCACTGCTATGAAATTAGGGCTCATCATCCCTCAAAGTTACTTGCTTCCATCGTCCTCTTTGTCTCCTTTTTCTTGTGTTCGATTGTTTCCACCAAACCACAACAATCTCAATTCCTCATTCCCAGGTTTCCCTCTCCCTCTCTACCCTCTTATCTGATATGTACATATATGAATTTTGTGGTTATTTGTTCATCAATCAAATTCATGATAATTATATCTTACAAATCTCATAAGGGTCTCTGTAAAATATGATCTTTATTGGATGCTTGATTTGCGAGTAATTCACTTGATCAGAAATCGAGTGCTCTGTATACATATGCATGTTTTATTGTTTTTGTTTGGGTATTGATCTATTAAGCGAGTTTGCTTTGAGCTTTGAGCTTTGAGGATAACATGACTTGGGAAATTTAGGTTAATTACAGTTTTCTGTTATCTCAGTAAGAGTTTTGTAGTTTACTGTTAACATGATGATGCTCATGATCTGAAATGGGTTTTCTTTGAATTTCAGCAAGACAACGCGCGTTTCCCGTTATTTGCCGTAAGAGTGAGCTGTTGCAGAGTAACTTAATGGAATCTGGAGCAGAAACGTTAGTGGAAAGGAGAAACCTTTATCCTCCAATTGAGCCATACAACACAGGAGTTCTAAAGGTTTCAGATATTCACACACTTTACTGGGAGCAATCAGGAAAACCCGATGGACACGTACGTAAGCCATTGTAACCTATCTCTGTGAAACTTGAAGGAATCATTCAGTTTTCTGGATATGTTGTACTCAATTGCTTTGGAGCTTTGACTTTGGTCTTAGCACTTTAATATATATGTCTTAAAGCTTCTAACTTTGCATTCTATTTTGGGACTTAACATGTTGCAGCCAGTTGTTTTTCTTCACGGAGGGCCAGGAGGAGGGACAGCTCCTAATAACAGGAGATTCTTTGATCCTGAGTTTTATCGGATAATTCTTTTTGACCAGGTCGGCTTCTTAATTTTGAGGACAGAGCTCCTAATAACATTGCATCATCCAACTTGTATATTCACCCCCTCTTTGTTTTCCTTCAGAGAGGTGCGGGAAAGAGTACACCTCATGCTTGCTTGGAGGAAAACACCACATGGGACCTTGTGAATGATATTGAAAAACTAAGAGAACATTTGCAAATTCCGGAATGGCAGGTGAAATATACAGATAAATGTTTCTTCTTCTTCTTCGTCTTGTGATGATAATATGCATAAGAGCGTGTACATTCTTTTTTCGCTTCGTACAGGTTTTTGGTGGATCATGGGGAAGCACTCTAGCACTTGCTTACAGCCAGTCTCACCCTGACAAGGTGCAAATTATGACTTTTACACTTCTACAACTGAGGAAAATTGAAGGATATAGGGGATGTAATAAGTAGTATCCTTTTGTTATATTAAGTAGAATTTATAGGTAGTATACTTACATGAACAAAACGGGGGAGATTACTTCTATCTTGAGATAACCTTCACACATTTTACTCTACTTTGTTGGGTGCAAGGTTACTGGTTTGGTCCTTAGAGGGATCTTTCTGTTGCGGAAAAAGGAGATTGATTGGTTTTACGAGGGTGGTGCTGCTGCTATATACCCTGATGGTAATTCTCTTTCTTGTATCCCTCTGTGATGGAGCTATGGTTCATTGCAGCTTCTTTGAATTGATTACTATCGTCTGCTTTTGTAGACATTTCTGTTCAAGCTTAGTGAATGTGGGACTAGAGTTTTTTGTGCAAATTATAGTAGTCTGGCTCAAAAGCTTCCAGTTTTTTTTGTCTTCCTCATAATTGTTTGTTTCTCTGTTTTGAAAGGCTGGGAGGAGTTCAGAGATCTCATTCCAGAAAACGAGAGAAGTAGCCTTGTTGATGCATATCACAGAAGGCTGAATTCCGATAATTTGGAAACTCAAGTATGTTGAGATATAATCACTATTACATGAGAAAATTATGTTGAGATATAATCACGAGAAAAGTGCATTGAGCATCATTCTTTTTTAGCAGTTGAAACAGTTGAACTCTCATCTTTTAATTTGTACTAAGAAATTTCTGTCTATCTCTGATACGGTAATAATTGCATTCTAATCTTGTAGTATGCAGCTGCAAGAGCTTGGACTAAATGGGAAATGATGACGGCTCATCTTCTTCCGAATGATGAAAATATTCAGAAGGCCGAAGATGATAAATTTTCATTGGTTAGTTTGAGAAGTGTTCCAATCTTATCTGTATTCATTGATCACTAATTTTATGACAACCCTTGACTTTCCTCCACAGGCGTTTGCAAGGATTGAAAATCACTACTTTATTAACAAGGGTTTCTTTTCCTCGGACTCATACTTACTTGATAATGTTGATAAAATAAGACATATCAAGACCACCATCGTTCAGGTACATACTTCATATAAGAACTTGAATTCTGAAGTTCAATTGGTCTTCATAGATACATCTTGTTTGGAGATTGATCAAATGAAGTCGAGTTTTGTAAACAATAGTTTCTCGTTTTATGTATGTTTAGGATTAAGAAGCATCAATTTTTTCTGCATCTAGGTGTTGTATATTAAACTTTGATTTGGCTATTTACATATTGCATTGTATTTTATGGGATTGAGAATGGGTCTATCAAGCTGAGAACAATGGATTTGACTGTCTGGTTTATTACAATGGACAGGGAAGGTATGACGTATGCTGTCCGATGATGTCTGCTTGGGAATTGCACAAAGCATGGCCAGAGGCAGACCTCAAGGTAAGCTAAAGTCTTCATGATCTTTTATAAGTTTCTTTTTGCTTGTTCTGCCGAATTGGTAACGAGACCCGTGTCTGCAGATTGTTGGTGATGCTGGACACTCGGCTAATGAGCCTGGAATCGCATCAGAACTCGTGGCTGCCAATGAAAAGATGAAAGCGTTTGTTGGATGAAAGTATTTGATCGATCAAACATAGTTGCTCGCTTTGTTCATGCCTTGGGGACTAATGTTCACATTTTTAAGTTTGTTGTTGCACATGAGCATTTCACAAAGTTATTAACGCGAACCAATGGTTGCTTTTATAGACGTTTATACCCATACAAGGTGTAAAACATTATAGATCAGATGTTTATGCATGTAACAATGCAATGTGAATCAGAGAATTGAAGACGGGACAAACTCGTCATCTCTGGTGTAGCCATGAACCAAGAAATCGGTGCAGTTTCTTCGCCAGCCGTGGTTATAAGGGTTGTAGAATCTCCCATCAGGTCCCCGCAAATAACTGAATCTTTTCGAGTTCCATAATTCGTTGGTTGTAATATTCCGAGCTATCTGCACCAGACAACCACAACTGTTATACAAACATTTGCAAAGAGCAGAGCAAACTCTTTTACTGTGGTAGCTGAGAGTTACTGACCATATACGCCTGTGAGATAGTCAACGTCATTGTCGCAATGAAAATAAGTAAGTCGAAAAACAGAAACACGGCAGCGCCGGGATGTTCAATGACTACATGTTGAATCCACGATTCTCTGGGGTGTATCTGTGAGATGCTTCTCCACATTCCTGTTGCAGAAACAAAGATATGGCTTTATAACAGAACATTGATCTAATCGGAGGATAGCGAGGGAGAGTTGTTTCAGTTGCATACTTTGAACAGCAGTTGTGCCACCAACGAATGATGTTAAAGCTCCCATGATCACGAAAACTAAGAAGTCGCGTTTATTCTTCTGCGAATTGTATAAACAGAACGTTAACCGGAGAATATATATATGCATAACAGGGTGTTTCATGTCATTACAAGATCGTTTCCAATTCATTTGCGGAACCGACAAGAACTCTTACCTTACCAACACAATTGGAAATCCATGGACAGTGATGGTCAAACTGCTCAACGCATCGCTTACAGGTGGGACAGTGCTTAGATCGAACCGGTCTAATTATCTGAAGAGGTATGATATTAGTAGTTAGAATATAAAGTAAACGCCGATTACTATCTGAAATACGTTTTTTTGAGGAAAACCTTGCAAGTGGGGCAGAGTTGGGACCAGTTTCCTTTCCATGAGGGGCTCTTGAAACTGATATCAATCAAAGGTTCCTGCAATCATCAGAAGAGCGTAAGTGAATCAAACCTTTCAGAAAAGACAACCTATGACTGAATTGGTTTCTACTATAAATCAGTTCAGCAGCGTCCAAAAGAAAAACTGAAACAACTGCACATTGATTCTGTATATAAATAGTCACAATATAGACTGCATGCTGAATTGCCAGCAAAGTTGACCAGATCAACAGTTTTACTCAAAATGTTTGCATTTCTCTCGACATAGAAACATGAGAAGGAAGTTAAGCATACGTTGGCAGTCTGCTGGCCGTCAACTTCATTGGTTCTTTTGACATACCCGGGATCTTTGCTGTACAAAACAGACAGCTAATTACTCACTCCAATACCAATACACCACTCTCAGAGACACTACAAAGTGCATGCAGGCCTATATAATAGTAGCAGTCACATATCTGCCTCATTGCTTGATGAAGAATATCATGAATAAATACGCTTTTTTCAGAAAGTTGTATTAATTCTCCCGGTGCATTATATTAGCTACACCAAACTAAAATATAAGCACGAAAATTTCAGATGGCATTGATGATACCTGCTACAACGATGGAAAGCTATCAGTGAGCAAACACCAGATGAAAGACCAAACCATGCCCACAGTCCAACCATAGCAGTTATTCTAGGGAGATTAGAAGCTACATATATATGTAAAATGTAATATAATTCATTAGTAAAGCACACACATACATACACACACACACACACACTACTCATTTTGTTGCATGAGTCATTCACCTGCAACAATGGAAGTGAGGAAGAGGGCCATAAGAGTGACTATCAAGGAGAACAAAATAGGAGCATAGCTAGTCTTCCCCAACTTTCCACAGAAAATCTTGTCCATGAAACTATTTTTACGAGTTTGCATTGCCTTCGACTGAAAAATATAGAAAAAACGGATTCTCAGAAAACACATTATATCAAATGGAAACAATTAAAAGAAAACAGTCCCTGCAAACAACAGTACCACCATTTAACTAGCCATCTCACACTGAACATTTAATTCTACTGTGACCCTAAATCAGACAGCTCTCATATTGCGAGCACTAAAAATCTACAGTGCCCCTAAAACAGCAGAAGAAACATGTTTTCTAATTTCTACCACAATATGATGCCTCACTATCTCTGCACATCAGAGCCAATTCTGCTAATATAGTAAAAAGAAAAATCTGGGTCAGAGCCGCATAAGGAAAAGCAAATACCACAAGCGGCTTAGGGAAAAGCAAATACCACAAGCTGCCTTTGTTTCTGCATATACGGCTTATATCATAATTGTACATCAAACATTCATATGTTCAACCCAATTGTTCGTAGGATGTTTGTAAATACAAAATTACAGGACTCTGGAAGCATATTTTGCTGGATACATTTTCTAAATAGCCTTGCCAAGCTATTTCTGTCAAACCAAAGATGATGAAAATGAAATAAGATGGAATTATTGATTTAGGGAGAGAACCAGAAAGCTAATGCAGCATTCACAAATCAATTTTCAAAAATTTTATTCTAAAAAAGCAAGATGTGTTCCTTTTACAGATGTTAGAATGGTAGCAAGCAACACTATACATTACGTACAAGGAAAAGAGCGAGCTGCCTGTGACCTTTATCAGATGCAAGCTTAAGTGGCGTGGATCCAGTGTTATCTTCCAACATCAGTTCTTCCTTGGTTCCAGCATGAACTAGCAGAGTACAAGCCTCAACATTTTCCTTAATCACGGCCCAGTGCAAAGGAGTGCAGCCTGACCAGCAAAGTGATTAATGTAAGAGTTCTGGATCTAATGAAATGGAATAAAATATATATCAAGGTATCAGCGTTCTAAACTTTTTGCAAGTCAAAAAATGTCTGGAGTGCTTAACAATCCCTTCATATACAAATTTACAAGCACACAATGGTTGGAGTTCGGAAATTCTTATCTGTTTAGTCAGTTATCTTTACACATCATAAGTTAGCACTCAGTGTTTACATATCTAAAATAAGTGTAAGCAGAAACAAAGGAAGATATCAATCATAGATCTATATTCAGCTCTAGGATTCAACAACTTCCACAATCAACAGAAAACTCCGTAGTAAGTCATTCTTTTAGATTTCTAGAGCTGACAATAAGATACAGTAAAAAGAAACTGTTAAGAGTTTCCAGATTACCTGTGATGTCTTGTCTGTTTTGACATGCATCCCGGAAGAGAAGTAACCGGATTGTTTCTGTGAATCCATTGTAAGCGGCCCTGAGTCATACAAAAAAGGAAAAAAAATCTACAATTCACAGTAGTTCTCCTAAAGTTTTGAATGATAAGTAACATGGTACTAAGTGCAACTAAAAATGATCAGACATACTCAAAATACAAAAAGAAAAAAAAAAGAAACATCATTCTTGACATGTTCTCTTCTATGAACAGAAATCACGTGTACAATGATTATTTCATTCCTATCTGTCAAATATCAAAAGACTCGCAGAAGATAAGGCAGCCGGGAAAAAAAAATCAGTTCCTAACATCTGTGTTGTGAAATTCATGAGAACTAACTCAAGAATGCTGAGAACTCATTGCTAAGGAGGAAAATATCCATGCATTTCTAAATTAATTAAGCAGTGTTAAAAGCAATACACACACTGTATGCATCCATTTAATGTCTTCAGTAGCCATACCAATGTAGCGGACTCCTCCCTTCATTATCTAGTGCGTTATAGTCAGCCGCATAATTCACAATAATGTGATTCAAGAAGGCTGTCTGTCCATATTGAGAAGAAACATGCACTGCCTGCACGGAAAACTTATTGTAAGATAGAGAATGGCTTATCTGAAGTGTATGACCAAAGCTCAGTTCGTAGGACGTGATCTTCTATAGCTGCTAATCACAAATACGAGCTAACAGAAGCAATTAGCGTGACCCAAGCTTATAAATTCTGATCCATTTCACACTACTTATGACCACACTACGCATTAGTTTCCACTAAACAGAAACTCAACGAGGAAAAGAAAAAAAAAAATATTTACCCTGAACCCATTCACATCAGCGGCTTCAATTCGAGCTCCGTTTTGCAGAAGAAGGTCTGCAACATCAATGGATCCCTTTACTGCTGCCCAATGCAATGGTGTCTGCTGTATATTATCAGCTGCATTAACATCACCACCGTGCTGCAGATATGACAAATCAAATCCATTACTATACAGATAAAACAATTTAGCAGGGTAGCTTAAAAGATTTGATGAAATAAGAAAAATCTGCAAAAGTTAAGCTAGAATTTTGATAAGAACAAGGAAGAGCAAGAAGAAGAAAAGCTTAGGGTTTTGTTTTCCTAATCCAAAGGCTCTCAACTGCCACATGGTCAAAAACCCCTAATATATTCTCCCTTGTGGCTACGAAAGTTGATTAAATCTGAGGATAATGGTCTACAGAAATTCAGTAATCCTAGTTCACAATTGAGCATCAGCAACGAGCTTAGTGTGCGTACCTCGATGATGTATTGAGCAACGTCTAAGGAATTGTTTAGCGCAGCCCATTGGATAGCGTAGTAGCCATTAGCGTCGGGAAGTGAAACAGAAGAACCACCATGTTCAACGAAACGCTTAAGCTGGTGGAGATCGCCGTAAGCAGAAGCGGAGAAGACGTCTGTGATGGTCGGTGATTCAGTAGGATTTTGGTGAGATTTGGAATCAAGAGGCACTACTTCGATCTCCGACGAGTCCATCTACTCAACGATCCAAACTGTGAAAATTATCTGATCACGGATCTTGTCAAAGTCTAGTCTTTTCGCTTCTTTCCACATTTTGGTCCAATGTTTCAGGAGCGTCTAATTGAACCGAAGACTAATTGAACCGGATCTGGTATTTAATTCGTTGGTTTTCGGTTTAGTTGTTTGTTGCTAAATCTAGGAACAGAAACAAGAGATATAAGAAGTCGTGTGTGTACGACTATGTTTAAGAGCAATTATCGGTATCGTGAGCCTCCGAATTGTGGAGCACTCGATGATAATTGGTTGTTAGATTTGGTTCTTGCCAAGACGTAAGATCGATTACACTGACTGATTTGAACTCGTGACAATCGTCGGTTGATATCAAATTCGTACTATATTCCTTTTTAGGTTTCGTTCATAACATGTTCGATAATTTTCTTGTGAGATTGGAGTCTTTATTGTAAAGACCCGAACCTGAAAAAGTCGCAAAACCAAAATCAGAAACCTTATCTTAACTTGGGTTGAAAGCAAAACAAATAAACCTAAAATTTACGAGCTTATAAATTCATTGAGATCATAAACCTAAGGGTAATTTGCATCAATATTATATTTGGAGGAGCAAATTAGGCGCATGACATCGAAAAGAAGTCAATTCATTGGGTAGCGGAAGTCAACTAAAAAGTAGGAGTGGAAAATACACTATGCCCTTACTCCCGAAAAGTAGACATTGCTTTTTCTGTGGCAGATAGGGACCACACGATGATAGTTAAGCGCAGACGCTACCTGCTTTTGGCGACACTACCAACGTAAACTTTCGTTACTTTTTGCCCATCCCTTATGCTTTTTGTCGTGTAGGTAAATAGATGTATACCAAATAGTCACATATTATTTCAGTATAGACATTCTTTATTCTAATTCTTTTGTTTGTTGTGCTCATATATTTACAGTAGATGATTACTAATATGTGACTATGTTTAATATGTAGGTGGTTGTAATCGACCACGATGAGTAAAAAAACATTGCAAATGAGAAACTTATGGGAGAGGTGTACACAACTAGTTTTTGGAGACCTTTTTATGAAAGACCTTTCTACCCAGAACCAACTTATGTATGTTCTGGTGACTCGGAACTACTTCCCCCATTAATGCGCTGATCACATGGTCGACAAAAAAAAATAAAGATCTCATCCCGAAGAGAAATGAGGATAAAGTAGTCAACTATTTAGTGTTTGTAACATAGTGAACTTTTTATATTGAGTTGTAGTTGACTACTTTGTGGTAGAAATGTGGTTGATCCAATTCGTTTGAATGACACAAAGAAATTTGAGGAATGCAGCAAGGCTTTTCAGTAGGTGTCTTGGGAGGAGTTACAATAGTAACGCTATGGCCATAGTTCACTATTTTCATAGAAGATCATTTGCTCAGAGTATGTGGGTTATGTAGTAGACAACTATTTTTATAAAAAGGTTCGTTTGAATGACACAAAAACATTGACTACTTTGTAACGTATTTTGATTAGATAGCTAGTACTCAAAATCGATTATTAATAGTTGTTTATTTGCTTCATACAACTCAAAGTTGATTCTAATATTTAAGTAAGTATTAGTAATTGTTTTTTTCCGATTATATAGCTACTACTCAAAAGTTGATTATTGGTAGTTGTCTATTTTCATCTTTTAGTTGGGCTGTTTAATGAAGACAGATAGGTTGAGCGCCGTGATGACAGATGTTCCTTGAGTGTTTGGTTTAAAACCTTACATAAACTAGCAAATGAATAAGCATCTTCTGCAGATTCTCTAGCAACTTTTACAAAGACATCAACGAGTGCATCACGAATCTAGAGAAGCACATTATTTGTGAATGGTGTGGGTTCACATTGTTGAAGAGAACACATATTCCTACAAAGGAAAAATGGCAAAAAGTTAGTTATTGTAAATTGATTACTATTATAACGTAGTTAACTATCGATAGTTATATTAGTAGTAGGTTATATGTGCATAGTAGTTATGTAAACTGAATATGGAGTAGTTGTTTATTGTATTTGTTATAGACGATAAGAGTAGACGATTACTAATAACGATATTCAATGTAGTTATTACTTACTCAGTATGCATATAAAAATAGTTAACTACTCTAGATCTATAAAATCAAGAAAATCGTATATCCAAACCGGATTGCGGATAAAGAAGACAAAGGAGGTGGAATGTAATTTCATCCATTTCATAATGAGCAGAAACAATTACTACAGACTAACTAGAGTAATTTATCGGCAAACATATTAAATCTAGATCTGCAAAATTAAAGAGACAGTACGTGCATGTTGGGAGTAAAATCAGAGTTCAGTACAACCACAACACCATTTACGACCATATTTGCCCATCAACAAACGGAGAAACCCAGAAAAAGTTGTAAACGTACCTTTCGGTCTTTGCCGCGGAAGCAGGCTCCGGGGGTGTGAAAGACTTGTCGACCATTTTCGAATATCGAGGCTCACCGATAAAACTGAAGAGGCTCGACAATAAAACTGAAGACGCTCGCCGATAAAGCTGAAGAGGCTCGCCGTTAGAGTTGAAGCGAAGATGTAACCGGACAATAACTCGCCGTACACCAAGATTAGAAGTCGTCGGAAATCAGAGATGAGAACAATATTGATGGTGCAGATGTATTTTGAAATTCAAAATGAATTTCAAGGACCAAATCATAGTTATAAAGGCGTGGAAAAACAGATTTGAAATAAAGGTAAATCTGAATGAAAGAGAAAGTTGTCAGATAAAAAAAAAAGTGTAAAGACGTTTACGTTATAAGACATATGCCGTGTTAGAGTCCAATGAAGATGAGGGGGTATTGGGTACTTTCCACACCCTGTGAAAATTAGTTCCCACACTTGCAAATACCTCTTGTCTTCTAGCTATCACACCAAATTTCCCTAAACCTAAAACTCCTTATCTTAATATTTTTTTTTTTTTACCTTTTTACCTGAATATACTTATATACAGAGGGAGGCATAGAGAGTTGGAGTGTTGAATGTTTGTAGAAATCAGATTGTGATGAATTGTGAACATAATGATTGAATTGTACTCAAAGAACATACATCTTATCTTTTGACTTTTATGAGGCTCAAAAAAGTTTTCTCTGTTCTAAGATAAGATCCAAGAGATACAAATGTAAGGTTCAAAAATGTGTTTACCGTGCCTTTAACATACGATTATTAATTTAATATAATAATACATAACATAGTAAATTAAACAAACAACCTAAAATTAATAAATAAGTTAATGTTGTGTCAAAATATTAAACTAAGAGTTAATGATGTGACATAATGAAAAGAGAGCATATTTAACTATATATATAATATATATTTCTTTTAAATTGTTTTTGTAAGAAGTTTGGATTTATCATTGGAGAATAAAGGAGCATTTATGACTTTTGAGTGGCTTACTTATGCTTTAAGTCGATGATCGATAATACCACCGACGTAGAAGAACGGGTTGTCTCATTAATCATCAAATTGATGTAACGTTATGCACAATCTTTATTAAAGTGGTACCAACAATGGTGTTTTTCGACGACTTGGTGGTGTCTACGAATTCGGGAGAAGCACTCCTATTATTTCAAATTACAAGAATTGTTATATTGCCAATTCTACAATGAACAGTTTTACTATCCATTGCAAACAATTCCACCTGCACCATGCTGAAGATCTCTAAACATTAATGAACTTTTGATTAACCATTGAGGCAAGTAATTTCTCTAACGATTTATGATAGCAATTAGAGAATAATCTGAATAAAATGAGAATATATATTTTTTTTAAAAAGAACTCCCTCTTTACTTTTTTTTACTCTCTTTACCACCTAATTTAGAAAAATAGACCACCTAATTTAGAAAAATAGAAAAATATGCCATCTCCAAGCATGCACCAAAACACCAAATTTGGTGTTAATTCTCCAATGATGCACCAAATCTAACACCAAATTTTTTTTGTTTTTGGTGTTTTGTGAATAGTGTTGCACCAAACTATTCACAACACCAAACATTAAAATATTATTATCTTTTCATTTACTCATATAATTATATAATTGTTTATTAGTTTATTAAATTATGTTAGTTTAGGAGTGTATGATCCATTCTTGTAATTCAAAATTGTATAAAATATCGTTATTAAAAGATTAAAATTAAAAATACATAATAAACATCAATTAAACATTTCAACATAAAATTACTGAATTAAAACAAAAAAGGAAAAAAACGAAAAAACAAAATACAACAAGATAATTTTTAAAACATAATATTACATATAAAGGGTTTATAAAATTATTTATAAGAATTTAGAAGATTATTTATAAGGATTTATAAGACTATCATTATTTTGTCATTGTCTTATATTAAAAAAAAAATCTTATAAAAGTTTATAAGATTAGTTATAAAGGTTTATAAGATTACTTATAAGAGTTTATAAGACTATAACTATTTTGTCTTGCCTGAAAATTAGTACAGTAAAATTTATTTTTTATTATTTTTTTATAGATTGTAATCTTTGTTCTTTTTTTTTATTGCCGAATGAAATGTTATATCGAATATATAGTGAATATATTTAATAAATAATTAGTATACACCAAAATTATTAAAAAATAAAGAAAATCTTAAATTTAACAATATAATAATATAAAATATTATTTTCAGTGTGAGATTTGGTGCTGTGGTTGGAGACGAAAAAAATACTATTCACTTTTGCACCAAATTTACACTATTCACAACACCAAATTTGGTGCTATGGTTGGAGCTGGCCATAGCACCATCAACATCAACATTGATTAAATTAACTCTTTTTCTTTATCCTAATTTTTTATACTTTTTTTTTCTAAAATCACATCAAATTTCAGTTTGGCGCTTTTTTGAATTATTTGATAACCGATCAATTTTGCTAACAGCATTACCACTACAATTTTAATTTAACCTCTACAATTTAAATTTAACCTCTATCTTACGTAATAAGCGATTCCTACAATTATAATTCTGCTGATGAGGCGGATATTTTATTTATCGTTCGATCTTTACATAATCAACCATTAATTTTACATAAATTTCATTTTCAAGACAATAATAAAATACTTAATTACGTGAAAGCAACCAGTAAAACCATCACCAGACATTGCACAAATTACCAACAGCTAAGTTGTAGAGCGTCTTGGAAGCGCTTCTCTAGTGTACCGGGATCGCCGGAGAACCAGCCGAGACCAACCCCCGCACGATCCTCACTGTCTGATGACTTCCACGGCGAAAGAAGATCAAAGACACGGCTCGGCTTGACGGGTGGCAATGATGGAGACTGATTTGTAGTTTTGTGGCTAACTAGAGGATGTGAAAGTATGAGCATTGCAGCCGATGGCGACATTGATGGCTTGTAAGATCTTTGAACTATAATTAATTTGATAAGCTTGTGATTATTATCAATCTAGATTTTGGATATTGTATGTATGTGTCAATATATATACATATATCTATATATATATATATATAATTGTTGTGAGACGGATAGACATGAAGAAATTAAATGATGGAGGAGAGTAGTTTTCTGTGGGAGCCGTTGGATTGATTACTTTAAAACTTAAATATAAAATAAGAAAACTGTGGCATGTGGTTTAACAAGTCTAGCTTGTGGCAAAACTATGCAACGTAGGCGTTGCACGCGCAAATCCTATGGGCGCCACCGTCTCTGATTGTATTTTTTTTTATAATATATTTTACTTTAAAATATCCTTCCATTTTTTTGTTGTGAAAATTTGTTTAAACAGTTTTGAAGTTGATTTTTTTTTGTTGAACAGTAAAGTTGATTATAGTTTATTATAGAAAAATATTTATAATTTAGCCTAAGTATATAATTGCTTATTTAAAAAATGTTTAGAAATTATAATTTTTAACGTGTGAATGATTGTCTATTATTAATCTTATATACAAAAATTGTTCAACTCTCTTCAGATGAGTGACACATCAGCATTTAAGAATTGATATAGAAATGACATATGTTATTTTCTAAATTTAAAATTATAATTTTTAAAAAAAATTAATTAATAAATTTTAATATTAACTGTTAAACCACTTAAAGAAAAGAAAAAAAATAAATGATTCTTAAATAACATTCTGTAAATATTAAACAAGAATTTATGTTATAATTAATTAAAAATTGATGTTTTTATAATAATTTCTTAATTTTTAATGATATTATATTTTAAATTAATTTATTTATAATAATATACAAACAAATAATAAATGATGATCATGTTTTTTTTTAAATTATAAAAAATATAAATTTTAAATAGTTGAAGAAAAACCTATTTAAAATTACAGTTTTAAAAAAAATTTAATAATTTTTTATATTAAATTTTAAACAACTCAAAAAAACAAATATCTATTAATTGATTTTTAAATAACATTTATGTTAATATTAAACAAAAATTTATATTATAATTAGTTAAATATTGATGGATATTCTTTTGGTATAAACTCTTGATTTTTACATTTCAAATTGATTGATTTCTAATAATATAATAACACATAACAAATAATGATTATATTATTTTTTTAAGAAAATACAAAAGTTTATAAATTTGAAATAGTTAGAAAAAACCTGCACATTACGTGCAGGTATTCACCTAGTTTTATACTCCTTCCGTTTCATAAAGAGGGTAATTCTGACATTTTTCACACTTATTAAGAAAACTATTAAAAATACTACTTTGCCTTTCATTAATGCATTAAATATTTTTTTTATAATTAATACATTAAATCAATGAGGTCAAAACTGAAATATTGTTTAAAATTCTGCATTGAAAATATAAAACGACACTCTTTGTGAAACAAAAATAAAACCTTAAAACGACACTCTTTGTGAAACGGAGGGAGTATATAAAAGTTGTTGAACTCTCTCCAGCTGAGTGACATATCAGCATTGGAGAAAGTGACACATGTCCCAAAAAATTATTTCTACTATTAATGCATAAACAAAATTTAATTTAATTTTCATTATCTTAAAAATATTAAATCATCAGAATAATATAACTAAATTCCTAATTTAAACATCACAATGTATAAAACAAAAATAATTTGAGATTTTAGTTTTGTCTACTATTTTTTTATGTGATCTATCCATATATTTTAAATTAACGAAGATAATTAATTCATAAAAAAGTAAAGAAAAAGATAAATAATGAAACAAAAAATGAGAATAATAAATTAAGAAAATTTCAAACAACTGAAGGACACGTTTTTTAGAGTTAAAAACAACAAAACACAAAAGAACATTCACTAAACAATCAAAAAGATAACAAATTATCAAAAATAAAGAGAAAAATGACAAAATAGTAAAAAAAAATATGATAACAAATAAATAGAATCAATGAAATATGTGAAAATAGAATATGAATATGTAAACTGCAGAAAGTAAAAATGATTGAAAAAAATAAGTTATAAAATAAATAAAAAAAATAGGTTAAGAATTTCAAACAACTGAAGAATAAGTTTTGAGATTGCTAGATTGAGATTTCAAAATGATTGCTAGATTGAGATTTCAATGAAAAATATTAAAAAATAATAGATAGAAAGGATTATCAGGATTGCTAGATTGAGATTTCAAAATGATTGCTAGATTGAGATTTCAATGAAAAATGTTTAAAAAATAATAGATAGAAAGGATTATCAGGGTCATAAAAAATATTAAAAAATCACAAAAAAATTTGATAGTTAAACTAGAAAATTAAAAACATAAGTAAAATAAGATCCGTGCGTAGCACAGATTCTTTCTTAGTTATAAGAATAATTACATAAACGATTCTACAATGGATAATTTTATCTGTTTACAAGAATCTATTACATTATATAGTTTTACCTGCACCATGCTCGCAATGAACAGTACACGCTAGACCATGATAAACAGTTCTATTTATATATCATAATAAAACCTCTTGTAAAATTGTTTCTATTATTTTGCATTCTTTGAAAATTGAACTTTATACTTTGGATGTGGAAGTATTAATGAAGCATTGGTCAATTCAGCATAGCTGGATGGAAGGCACTTCCAAACATTTAATTACTTAAAAATTCTAATTTAATGGAAGACAAGTATTTAATTTATCAACTTTAAGAAAAGTATGTATCAGGACTACGAAAATTATTCTGGATATTTGTTATTTTTTGAATACCAGAGTTAAGAGTTTTTCTTCTCTAATTTCTTCCAGTATCCGGAGTTAACCTTTACATATTCTGATTAAAATAATACTTTTCATTCTAAAGAAGATTGAATATGGAGCACAATGGACACTGACTCTTTGGTTTCTTGAACCTGTTGGATGAGTTATGCTTACTTGGTGGAAAATTTAGTTTATTTAATTTATCTCTGTTTGTCGTACTCTGAATCTTTGCACAGATTGTCTTGTTCATTCGGCAAGAGTCAGACTTCAATGTTCTTATGTAAATTCTTTTCGACCGGATTTGGTTGTGAGATCGACAAAAAAGAATTCTAACTATGGCTTCACTTTTGATTTGCAATTTAAACTGATCATTTCGACTTTGTAACGAAGGTAACAAAAAAAATAGAACTCTTTTGGAGGGACATGAAGTCTATCCTATCTGTTGAGGCTAATTTATTTATCTCCATCTATCTGGTGCATAGAGAGTTATTGTTAGTAACTTTTTTTTCAGTATCATGGTTCATATTAATTTCGTTTGATGATTATAAGTTAGTTAAATTGTAATCACAATTAGTTAACAAATCAAATTATGCTTTACAAATTTTCATGAACTTCAACGAAGACAAGCATCTTGATTCAAGAACATTGTCCATATTGAAGATACTTCATGTGGGGTTTTCTATATGAAAGTAAGGAAATTTTTTGTCTGTCATCTAGTGTTATATTAAAATCTCAAAAGAAAAAAAAAGCCGATTGTCCAATAGAACTACACCAGAGCCAAAAGCCTATATAAGAAGAAAACGCAAAACATACAAAAAGACTTACATCAAGTTCACTGAATAAACAAAAACCATCACACACAAAGTCAGCTTAATCCCGATTAAGATCCAAGATAATTATATTCAGAAACAATTTTTTCAGCGGAAATTTTTACTCAAAAGTTGGTCTTCTATACAAGAAAGATGAAGGTAAATAATTTTACGCGTGTTTGATGAAGACGACGTAGAATTTAAAGAACATATTTTACAGTTTTTTGCTAAGAATGTTAATATCATATAAAATGAAAGAATATCTTACAGAAAGTAGAATCTAAGCCTGTACAACCTCGGCAAAAAGAAATATTTTACAGTTATAAGATGTGGGTGTGGAAAACCTGCCTCGAAACAGTGGCGGAGCCACATTGTTGAAGACGGGCGAATGACCCCAATGATTTTTAAAAATTAATGTAATTTATTAGAGTCTAATATGAATGCCTCACTCCTAACATCGTATATATACGTATTTGCCCCCAATAAGAAAAATTTCTGGCTCCGCCACTGCCTCGAAAGCAACCTCTTCACCACGAAGGAGCCAAACATAAATTAATCACCCATTTGACGTCTTCATCGAAGCTGAAGCTGATGCTAGAAACAAATAATCTTAAAACCTAAACACAGAGACAGATCAGGAAGGACCAGATAGGTGGAAAACATCAGCTAATGACGAGAGTTTTGAGGAGAAAGCTACATCGGTAACCCAAAACCTCCCTCTCTGACCAGAATTAAAACATGTCACGTAGCAACAATTTTGAGTACCAGTCAAACACGGACCGAAAGTAAAGCTAGAGCTGAAGAAAGAAATGCAAAGACGTTAGCAAAAGCAGCTATGCCGCACCATCAACAAATTGGAAAATATGTACATCTGGCGCTACTCGCTTCACAGAACTCAATTCTCCGGACTAAAAAGTTCACCGAAAATATGTACATCTGGCATGCCCAGTCACCGAAAAAGTTGATATAAAGAGTTTTTAAGTAACAAGTGATCTAGACTATAGCTAAACATGTAAAAACTAACAATAATTCAAGACTAATTAAGCAAATAAACAAAACAAGCAAATGATGTTTTTAAAGATGATAAAAGCTAAGGTTCTAGACATGATAGTAGATTAGTGTGTTCTTGATGCTAAACTAAGATGTTAAGAGTCTTAAGACAAACAATCAATTCCAAATAACTTAGAACTCTAAGCAAGACTAATCCTTTCCCAAGGTGTTAATCACAATATTAATCAGCATTCAAACCTAATTCTCATTAGTGTAATACATATTAATATGCATTAGATTCAGTTTTAAAATATCATTTACACCTTAAACAAACATTCTCATGGTGGATAAAGCATTAACCTCTAAATAGCTTGTTCAGGTATTTCATCAAACACTTTGTGGGTGTTGAAATGCCTAAGTCATAGACCAAACTAATTATGAGAGATCTAGCTTTAAGAATAGCTATTTAGAGAAATAAAAATGAATGATCTAACTCCTAAACACCTTGATCTAACATCTAGGCACCCTAATCCACATATATAAAACCTTATAAAAAAACTATTCACTAATCATAATCAACACAAT